CTACGTTCAGTCTTATACCTCTTCAATCACTCTTATACATTTGTTGTAAAAGTGAGCTTTTAAAAACAATTCTGAACACGTTGCTGATCTGCTCAAAAATCTTTAATGGTTACCCACCATCTATAGCAGAGCTCAGCAAAATAAGCATTTTAGACTTTGCAGGCGACACAACAGTCTTTGTAGAATAGGCTTCTCAGTTGTTGTTGTTTTTCTTACATCACTTAACAACTTAAAAACCAACCTTAACTCATGGGCCATATAAGCCAAGAGCTGGATTTGGCCCTTCAGGCCATAGTTTGTCGACCTGTAGAGTAAATAAAGTGCTGGCTCCTTAATATATCATAGCAGTCTCATAATCTGGTCTACTGCTTTCTTCTCAAGTTTTATATATTGCCAAAACACTTCCTACACTTTCTGCTGTGGGAATTAAATTGTTGGCAGTATCTGAAAGTACACCAAGCTGGGTTTTGTACCTCTGTACTTGTTCATATTGTGTCCACTAAAACTGTCCTTCTTTATCCAACTGGAAAGCTACTCCTCTCTCAAGACTTTACTAAAGGTGTCATCTCTTCTATTAAATATTTCCTGACTGCCCATTAAGAATTCCAGTTCATATTGTGTCCACTAAAACTGTCCTTCTTTATCCAACTGGAAAGCTACTCCTCTCTCAAGACTTTACTAAAGGTGTCATCTCTTCTATTAAATATTTCCTGACTGCCCATTAAGGTGTCTCTGTAAACTGTACAAATATGGATCACAGTACCTATAGCAATTCACTGTGCTTATTTACTCCCCATCTCTAATGTGAGTCTCTCAAAGGCAGAAAACTACTTACTTTGATTTGTATCTCTAACATACAATAGCCATTTAGTAAATGTTTGTGAAATGAATGGCCCCAGGTATTGTGTTAGCAAGTCATCCAACACCAGCAACAATATAAAGAGAAATGAAGAGAGATTGGTAGCCCTCTAAATTGCGCATGACCCCCACACAGAAGCAAGTTATTACTTTTGTTGTCTGTAGAGAAGCTCCCCAATCCCCACTCTTACATCTTGTGGAGATTTCCCCATACACTCATGAGGGCATGAAGGCGATTACACAAATCCTCATGGCAGACTTTTTCTTGAAGCAGTAATGCCATCTAACTGTGCCTGTGTTTTTAGAATCCAAATGTGGACTCAAAACCTATCTTCCAATAAACATACTTTTAAAAATGTTCCTAGGGATTTTAGTATTATTAGTGATAGAATGGTGACCTAAATAGGTGTTGGTGAGCTGCCTTTGGAATGTAGCTACTCTGTCTCAGTGGGGAAAACGTGCTCTGAGTTCCAAGCTGATGACATATGAGTTAACTTTTGGACATAACTCATTCCTAAGTTTGGGGCTGTCTCTACTTAAAATATATCAAGCATAGGTCAGAGGAACTGGAATAAGAGTCAACCAGATTAAAAGCAAAGCCATAAAAGTGAAAGCCAAAGAGAAATATGATATGTTTCTAAAACTAGAGAATGGGATGATGAGGCTCCTTGTTGTACACTCTGGAGAGGACAATGCATAAAGGAAATTGACTTTGAGAAAGAAATAATAATGAGAGTATTTGGGAACTTTCAGAAAATTGCAATAATATCTTAGCAATTTATAAAAATTACTATTCAATAAATAGCAATTTATTGAATGCTTGCTATGTTCCAGAAACCACTCTAAGATTTTATATAGATTATCAATTACACACACACATATACACATACATACATACAAAATGATTTCTTCACCACTACCAGGGGCAAATGGAGTGTGAAGCTTACTCTCTGATTATTATAGTTTTCTGCTGAAAGATTTTACACACACACACACACACACACACACACACACACACACACTGATTAACCTTCAGAAAGTAAAGAAAGAGGCCAAGGATAGAAAATAGTGTGACCAGTGGGTGGCTCAGTTAGTTAGGCGTCTGCCTTTGGCTCAGGTCATGATCCCAGGGTCTTGGAATGGAGCCCCACATCAGGCTCCCTGCTCAGAGGGGAATCTGCTTGTCCCTCTCCCTCTCCCTCTGGAATCTCTCTCTCAAATAAATAAAGTCTCAAAAAAAATAAAATATCTTCTCCCATTCTGTAGGTTGTCTTTTAGGTTTGTGGACTGTTTCTTTTGCTGTGCAAAAGCTTCTTATTTTGACGAAATCCCAATAGTTCATTTTTGCTTTTGTTTCTCTTGCTTTCATGGATGTATCTTGCAAGAAGTTACTGTGGCCAAGTTCAAAAAGGGTGTTGCCTGTGTTCTCCTCTAGGATTTTGATGGAATCTTGTCTCACATTTAGATCTTCATCCATTTTGAGTTTATCTTTGTGTATGTTGTAAGAGAATGGTCCAGTTTCATTCTTCTGCATGTGGATGTCCAATATTCCCAGCACCATTTATTGAAGAGAATGTCTTTTTTTCCAGTGGATAGTCTTTCCCTCTTTGTCGAATATTAGTTGACCATAAAGTTGAAGGTCCACTTCTGGATTCTCTATTCTGTGCCATTGATCTGTGTGTCTGTTTTTGTGCCAGTACCACACTGTCTTGATGAAGGGTTAGCAAAGGACTAGTATCCAAGATCTATAAAGAACTTCTTAAACTGAACAGCAAAGAAACAAACAATCCAATCATGAAATGGGCAAGAGACATGAACAGAAATCTCACAGAGGAAGACATAGACATGGCCAACATGCACATGAGAAAATGCTCTGCATCACTTTCCATCAGGGAAATACAAATCAAAACCACAATGAGATCCCACCTCACACCAGTGAGAATGGGGAAAATTAACAAGGCAGGAAACCACAAATGTTGGAGAGGATTTGGAGAAAGGGGAGCCCTCTTGCACTGTTGGTGGGAGTGTGAACTGGTGCAGCCACTCTGGAAAACTGTGTGGAGGTTCCTCAAAGACTTAAAAATAGATCGGCCCTACACCCAGCAATTGCACTGCTGGGAATTTACCCCAAAGATACAGATGCAGTGAAATGCCGGGACACCTGCACCCTGATGTTTATAACAGCAATGTCCACAATCGCCAAACTGTGGGAGGAGCCTCGGTGTCCATCGAAAGATGAATGGATAAAGAAGATGTGGTCTATGTATACAATGGAATATTACTCAGCCATTAGAAAGGACAAATACCCATCATTTGCTTTGACGTGGATGGAACTGGAAGGTATTATGCTGAGTGAAGTAAGTCAATCGGAGAAGGACAAACATTATATGTTCTCATTCATTTGGGGAATATAAAAAATAGTGAAAGGGAATGAAGGGGAAAGGAGAAAAGAATGAGTGGGGAATATCAGAAAGGGAGACAGAACATGAGAGACTCGTAACTCTGGGGAATGAACAAGGGGTAGTGGAAATGGAGGTGGGTGGGGGGTAGGGGTGACTGGGTGATGGGCACTGAGGGGGGCACTTGTTGGGATGAGCACTGGATGTTATGGTATATGTTGGCAAATTGAACTCCAATTAAAGAAAAAAAAGAAAAAGAAAATAGTGTGACCAGATATCCACCAATCTAAAAGAAGAGTGTGGGAGGAAAGAAAATTTTAGAAGCAATTTATATAGTCTTCTCAATGTGCTATGACAGAAAAATTCCAGTCAGTCAAAGTTAATATGAGAAAAAGAATCAACAAATTACCATAATACAGAGTGTACAATACATGTTGGCTGCCAACAATAGAAAGTGCATATGGCATCTTATTAAATGAGGAAGAAGGAGAAAAACAATCACAATCTTGGCCATGAAGACTCTTAGGTAGAGCAGAAATGCTAAAGCTCATGAATGTGTATGAGAAGTTGGAGTAGAAATGGCCAGAGGGTCGCTAAGGCACATCATGGAAGAGAAGGCACAGAAATTGGAGAAGGCAAAAGAATAACAATTTCAGTTTAAACATTTTTGTAAGAAATTGATATGATGGAAATTTAATATTTGTAGAAGCAATGTTGGTTGAGAAAAGATTTATTAATATATATAATATGCAAATGATTTTTAAAATAAGAAATTGTAAGTATAAACTAGAATATTTATTTAAAATGCTTTTTAAGGGAACCCCGGGAGGCGCAGCGGTTTAGCGCCTGCCTTTGGCCCAGGGCGCGATCCTGGAGACCCGGGATCGAATCCCACGTCGGGCTCCCAGTGTATGGAGCCTGCTTCTCCTTCTGCCTGTGTCTCTGCCTCTCTCTCTCTCTGTGTGACTATCATAAAATAAATAAATAAAAAAATTAAAAAAAATAAATAAAATGCTTTTTAAAAGATAAAGTGCTTTATACATACAAAAGATACTTCTTGCCATGAGATGCTATCATATAAATGTGAAAATTAAGAGGTTATTTGTCCATTAGATTCAAATTGGGGCAGACACCTATAAAATGTGATGAGGAGCAAATACTATATATATAACTAGTGTGCTATATTTGAATTTTATCCACCTTGTGTGGAAAGAAAGATGTTTGATCACAAAAAACCTTGCTCTCTATATCTCAGAAAAGAACCTGTCCCTGATGGACTACTATAGCTGTAGCATTTGCCTTTGCCTATCTCCTACTATTATTCTTTCTCTATACTATTTTGGACACATTCATGATTTTAGGTCATAATATGACTTGACAAAATGTTAACATTTAAGGTAAATTTGTTACAGAGTGTCTAGTAGTGACCTTGTAGAATTTTCACTTAGATTTTTGATGTGGGGGGATCCCTGGGTGGCGCAGCGGTTTAGCGCCTGCCTTTGGACCAGGGTGCGATCCTGGAGACCCAGGATCGAATCCCACGTCGGGCTCCCGGTGCATGGAGCCTGCTTCTCCCTCTGCCTATGTCTCTGCCTCTCTCTCTCTCTCTCTGTGACTATCATAAATAAATAAAAATTAAAAAAAAAGATTTTTGATGTGTTTGTTTTAAAAAAACATAAATTGAAATTTTATGAACCAAGTTTTCATTGTTTTTCTTGCACATTGAAGAGGTGTAGAGAGCCATTAGGATTTTTTGTTTTCTTTGGCTAACTTCCTAAGTGTAGCTTTTATGTCCTTGTTTCTCAGAGTGTTAATGAGGGGAATTAATATGGGAGTAACTGCTCCATAAAATATTGAGAAGAATTTGTATTCTTCCTGAGATTCCTTTGACTGAAGTTTCAGGTATATGTAGATGGCTTTGCCATTAAATATGGTGACTACAGTTAGATGGGTGACACAGCTGGAGAAAGGTTTGAGCCTGGCCTGAACAGAATGGATCCTCAGCATGATAACTACAATGTAGAAGTAGGAAATAAGGACAAAAGGGAAAGTCAGGGGCAGTGTGAATATACGGATAACCAGACATAGACTCAGACTGACAGGAGTGTCTGAGCAGATGAACTTCAGCAGGGCCTGAATCTTACAGGTAAAATGGTTGATGATATTCTGTCCATAATAATAAGCAGGAATTGCAATGATTGGCAAGACTGCTACTAAAAAGGCACTGGCCCAGGTTCCCAATGCCAACTGTATGCAAACCTGATTATTCATAAAGGTGGTATGATGCAGGGGATTGGAGATTGCAACAAACCTGTCATAAACCATGACAGCAAGGAAGAAGCATTCTGTCATCCCTGGAAAGAGGGATGTGGTCATCTGGGCATAACAGCTGGTATAGAAAATGATGGGGAAGTCCCTGAAACATTGGGCCAAGACATATGTTTCCCAGCTGATAGAGTAACAGATACCAAGGAAGGATAAATTACTGAGGAAAAAAATACATGGGGTTATGAAGTTGAGAATCCCATCTCACTACAATAAAGCTGGTCCCAAACATGGTGACCAGGTAGAAATACAGCAGTCCCAAGAAGACAGCCTAGATTTGAGGCTGTTGGAAAAATTCCGTGAGGATGAATTCAGCCATCTCAGAGACATTGTCTTTAGACTGCCCATTTAGTCATATCAAGTACTGGGAAGGATGACAAAACATAATGTCATCTATGTTTGGAATTAAGAAAAATAGCATCTAGTAGCCTGTTAGAGTTCATGTTCTAGACTTCTGATTAATTATTGTGTGTCATTTGTTTTACTGGGTTAGACTCAGCTGCTCAAGTATCGAATGATGAAAATACAGGCTTTCTTTGCTTTTCTATCTTGCAGAAATTTATAAGGTTAAATTGTTCAGACTATGTTAGATCCCCATTAGAGATACTTATACCTAATCAAGTAAGACAGTCATTAACATTGAGTTAAAATTATTTCTCTCATAAAGGGACATTACTAGATGATTGACTTTATTCTTGACCAAAAAAAGAGGCACATATGCTATATCTTCCTACCAAACATATGAGTTTATAGACAGCTTTATTGAAGTTGGTTCACTGATTAACAAACAATAATTTTTAACTTTAAGCTCAATGATAAAATTGTGAATGCTTGAAATAATAATTTGCTTTTCAGCTCTTTTTTTTTTTTGCTTCCTCTATGTCATATTAAAACCACATATGGATGGCAAATTAGGAAGTGTATATGTAGCTATAGCAATCATTCAATTCAATGGAAAAACAACACCAGCCAAAATGACATGAAATAAATGAAGCAACTCATGGATTTACTAAAATCTCACTCTTTGTTCAATTGTTCTGTCATCTGTCTTCAATGACAGAAGCTTACTATGTGCAGATCCTACTGTCTCCAAACAAAACCTTAAAGGGTGATGGGAAAATTTTATTAGATAAAGGATTTTATGAAGACAATGTTTACCAGAAATTTTGAAGAGAGACAAGTCAAATTTTGGAATACATGTTTCCAGGTGTGTAGAAAGAAAGAAAAAAAAAAGGAAGAAAGAAGGAAAGACAGAGTCCTGTCAGTTTTGTGTGATTTTGGTAGGGAGTAAAACAGATGACCCATTGAAATCTATTTTGGCTTTAGGAGTTTCTTATTTAGACACAGAATCAAATCTCTCCATACTGTATTGTTGTATTAGTGCTGCATATAATTGGGTAAATCTTCATACCCAAAAAAGCAGAATGTTAAAATACAGAAAGAAAGTGAGGGAGTCAGTGGGATCTAAGCCTAAATTCTGAGTCAGCCACCAGTAACCTCACAATCCTAAGAAAGTCAGTTTTCTCATATATGAAATGGGAATATCACTTAGTCTCTTGCAGGATTGTTGCAAGAATTAGAAAAGGTTATGTCTATAAAGAACCTAGCGCAGTGCCTGGCACAATTGTGACCCACACAAGCTATGTTAGCTCCGTTCTCACTTTCATATCCCATGTAGACCTTTCCTCTGGCTTGAATTTCATCCTTGTAAACATGTGCCAAAATGTCATTTCATCCCACCTTTCCTTGTGAAATTATTATGTTATCAGAAACAATACCATCTGAAGTCTCAGGTTTGAGTAACAACCAAAGAAAGTTTTACTGTGTAAGTCATTAAGATCTGTTCCTGATGGTAGGCGGGAGAAGACACATAAAAGGATGAAAATTACTCACTGACTTAGGGCTGGAGGACAGCAACAGAGAAGTGCACCTCATTCATAACAGAAGCATTTTGCAGTTGGCAACACCCCCACAAATGACTAATCTCCAAGAAGAAATTTGATTCCTTCAACTGCAAGGAAAAGAAGTTTAATACAAGCAGCTGTGGTAATAAATCTTCCTATCAGTTGTGGTTATAAGGCTGGAAAATCTTGAGTTAACTGTGCTGGTGAATCATGCACATTTATTTCTACTTGTTAAATATATTTTTCTTTTATTTACACAGAGATGGCTTGTAATAAGGCTACCATGAAAGGCTGGTGTTTAAAAAACAATAAAGAAATTCATTGTCTAGCATACATAATGATAATATAGTTCATGCCATTTCATGACATGTGATTTTTCTTTGCCCGTACAAATATGAAAATGAAATTTCTTCTTGAGGTGTCCAAAGTTATGTTACTTTGTTCTCAGCCACAGAAAAATAAATTGAGGAGATGTCCTTTCTGAATACATGTAGATATTTTAAAGATATTGGTCTTTGCCAAAAATGTATAGTGTACTTACAGACCAAAAATATTTAAGTAACATTAAAAGAAGACACAATTCAAATGTAAGAAGGACCTTTGGAAATTGGGATAATGGAGTAATTGTTGAAGAATTCATGACCTCAGTCTTGAAGAATAGTTTCCATTTTTGAGATTTAGGAGATATCCCTGTTTTGTAATTTAGTTGTCTAATACAAACATAGAGAAAACAAAGAAGGAGGAGGAAGCTTCTGTTATATTTTGCTTATCAAAATAATGTTCCTTTTCCTCTTAACCTGGTTAATGAGAATTTCAGTGAATGTTCCATATAGCAATAATTCTGGTAAGTTAATATGGTGGTGTTGGGTAACCACACACAGTCTTCTTCAAAGAGAAACTTTCTTCTGTCTAAGTAGTTCTTCATGAATTTACTTTCTTTTCTGCTAGAATATTAAGTGCTCAGGTAGTGCTATGAAGAATCTATATTGAGGAATTTTGGAGAACAAAATGCATATCATAGGATGATTGCATGACTTTTGTGTTTGCTGGGTTCTGCAAAGGATATGTTGTGTTGCTCCATTTAGTTCTCTTCCAAGTATGATTGTGGGTTTAACAGAGATTAGATAAAGTTTTATTTTTATTTCTTTTTAACTGAAGGGACTTTAGACCCCATACAATGGAAGTAAGGCCGAGTGTACACTTTGGAAGCTGTAAGTCCTTGGATTTAGCAACCATATCTAAGTCGCTTTGCTTTCTCTGGCACTCTACTTTGCACAGAAGAAAGTCTTGAAAAATGCTGAAATAAAAGCTCCCAATGTCACTTTGACTGAATGGATTCTTCCATTAAGGTATTTTTATGTTGCATTTAATGATACTGTTTGGGGCCATGTGACCCTGAATAACTTTTTTCCCTAAAATTTGTAGTCATTGATTTTTGTTTCCCAAAAATGTGTTGACTGATAGAGCAGTGCTCTGTAGAATGACAACAGAAAAGGAGGACTTTCAGACAGACAGTCACTTCTTATTGGGTGTTAATGGTTCACTTCTTCCATAGAGGGTTGATGGTAAGGGTCTGCCTATGTGAAATACTCATTCCTCAAGAATTTTCTTTGTGATTCTATCTTAGAGACCTTCTCACCACCAAATATTAAAAATATATTAAGCATGTGTGGAAATCCACAAAATATGAAGGAAGATAAGATGGAGAACATTTGCATAAGCATACAAATTGGGAGAAATTGTAGGGTCATCCAGGAAATATTTCACAGAAGACATGGTTGATGCTTCCCTAATGAAGATTACAGAACTGGCATAGAGGCAAGCTACAGCGGGAATGGACGGCTTCAGCTGTCCAGGCATCGGATGGAAGTCTCATTCTGCTAAAAGCAGAGCATCTGATAAATTTGGGATTTGCCTTGCTGACAATTCCATTTCTCAGAAGGTTAAAGAAGCATTGAGGGGAATTGATGCTATGATAGAATGGGCTAGAATCTTGGGAGAAAAAAACATATAATCTGGGAATTCATAAAAGAAAGAAATTCTATAGCTAATACTTCTAAAAGGGAAGTTGGCTGTGAGGACATAGATCTCTTTTATCTAAATCTTTTAATTTTGAATTTCTTAAAGTCTCTGATGATAATTTGATCAATTTCTTAAAGTCTCTGATGATAATTTGATCAGAGAGAATCACAAGAGATTTAGATCAAAATAGACCTTTTTCACTTTAAGTACACAGCACAGAGCATGCAAACAGCACAGACTCAACTCTCTTGGGTGTAAACAATACTTATCTAGCAATCTCATAAGGCCTAACTGACAGCAACTTTTTTATTAAATATTTTATTTATTCATGAGAGACACAGAGAGAGAGCAGAGGCATAGACAGAGGGAGAAGTAGGCCCCTCACGGGGAGCCTTGTGTGAGACCGGATCCCAGGAGCCCTGGACCATGATCTGAACTGAAGGCAGACGCTCAACTGCTGAGCCACCCAGGTGCCCTGACAGCAACTTTTTTGCCTTATAATCAGAGTCTACTAAACCTATCCTTATTTCATACTGATCTGTGTGGCCTACTCTGAAAGTTTACTAGGTAACTGAATTTTACTTATCTTATAGATATTTTTTCCTCAGAGCCTTTTGGTGTGTATATGAAAGGATTCAATCTAAGCTTCATGGTCATGCAGAATAATTCATTCATTTATCCATTCAACAAATATTTATTGATTTCTTTCCATGTGTCATTTCTGTTCTACTTGCTGAGAATATAACAATGAACGAAAGAGACAAGACTTCCCTTTTATTTAACTTGTATTCTGTGGGGATGAGACAGAAAATAAGTAACAAAGTAATTCAGATAGTAATAACTGTTAAGTTGAAAATAAAACAGGGTGGTATGAAAGAGCAGTGGAACAAGATTGTTATTATAGGTGTTTGCTTTCAAGGAAGGTGATGTTTGAGTGGAGACCAAAATGACACAAAGTAACTATGTGAAAATTTCAGAGAAGAGAGTTTGAGTGAGATGGAACAGTCGCTCTGCTTTCTCTGGCACTCTACTTTGCACAGAAGAAAGTCTTGAAAAATACTGAAATAAAAGCTCCCAATGTCACTTTGACTGAATGGATTCTTCCATTACGGTATTTTTATGTTGCATTCAATGATACTGTTTGGGGCCATGTGACCCTGAATAACTTTTTCCCCTAAAATTTGTAGTCATTGATTTTTGGTACCAAAAAATGTGTTGACTGATAAAGCAGTGCTCTGTAGAATGACAACAGAAAAGGAGGACTTTCAGACAGACAGTGTGGTTACTACACTACATCCAAAACAGGAGCAAAACTACAGCCAAACAAGTTTAAATGTTTGCTGAATAGGAGATAAGTGTAGCTGAAGCACAGTGTAGGGTGACCAATCTTCCTGGTTTGTCCTGGACTTTCTTGATTTTACCACTGAAAGTTTCATTTCCCAGAAACTCTTCAATTCCTGTGTTAGGCTTAGAATTACCACAGAAGGGGATCCCTGGGTAGCGTAGCGGTTTGGCGCCTGCCTTTGGCCCAGGGCGCGATCCTGGAGGCCCGGGATCGAGTCCTGCGTCGGGCTCCCGGTGCATGGAGCCTGCTTCTCTCTCTGCCTCTCTCTCTCTCTGTGACTATCATAAAAAAAAAGGAAATACCACAGAAACTCATTAATGATACCAATGTCACAGAATATTTTTCTCCAAGCTAATCATGCTGTGGTCTTTCCATCTCAATTCAGATGACACGTTCATTCCAAGACCTCTCAATTACCCAGATCTCTTCCTGAAAATACCTAGGTCTACTCCTGTTTTTTTTCCAGTGTTCTCTTAAAGAGTGGACCTGTGAACCAGACACCCTTCTGAAAGCAAGGAATCACCAGTGTCCATCATGGAGAAACTACAGATAGTGGCAGCATTCTTGTACATCCTAGAATAGCTGGTTATTTTTAATAGTATGTTTAGCAAGGATGTAAAGCCCCTAACCTTGATTTTCTTCCACACAAACTCCTATCAAACCAGTTATCTCACTTCCTCTGTGACTGTATAACTGATTTTCTTTAACCTTAAGGCTCAGCTTTATGATTTGCTAAGCAATGCTTCATCTTGTTCAGCTTGATTGGAGTTCCCCTCCATTGAGGTCATTTGAATGCTAATCCTGGTATCCGAAATTTTACTTAAGCACTTCTTACTTTCTTTGTGTCACTCAAAATTTGGTAAATTTGTCTTCTAGGTTTTTATCTAAGTCATTTGATAAAAGTGTTGGACAGAGCAGGGCCCTGGGCATGTCACTGGAGACATTCTTCCTACATAGTATTAATCATTAATCAATATATTAGGGGAAATTTGTTTAAGCAGGTATTAAATCTTAAAATTTCAAGCCCACTATGTTACCCATGATTTGGGTTATGGCATGTAATCATGAGGCCAAAATATTGCATGAAGATAAAGTTCCTCTCATTTGCTCTTGCAGATTACTGGCAATAAAAGATAATAAGACTGGAAATGTGACTGGAAACAGGTGAAGGACAGTAGATACACCTAGGAAGGAGAAAAAGAACTCTCAAAACTGCTTCACATGGGCTTACAATTTGAGAAAGACCAGAAGAGGAGGGGGCTTGAGGAGAAGTGAAGAATTAAATGTCTTAGCCTGTTATTAAAGTTTTTTTGCAATAATGCTACCATAGAAAATATAAAAATTAATGGGTGTGATAATCTTCCAATAAAACTTCAGTTAAAAAACACACACACAGTGCTCCAGGTTTTTTGGCCAGGCTGTGGTTTGCCAATTTCAGCTATAATTGATTCAGAATCACCTTTATAGAAATATCTTCATTCATGTATATTTTAACATAGGAACACAACTTCTACCCACTACCCTCTTTTCTCCTCTCTTAAGTTATCCCATTTCTAATCTTCCACACATAGATTGGGATCCTCATAACTTCTCTTTTGTTCTGGCTTCCTTTCAGGATTATTTCTTTCAATCTATCCCTTTTATGATCTGGAACAGGAAATAGCTATCTGTTTCTGAAATCAAAGTCCAGGGCCAGATGGCTTCCCAGGGGAATTCTATCAAACGTTTAAAGAAGAAACCATACCTATTCTACTAAAGCTGTTTGGAAAGATAGAAAGAGATGGAGTACTTCCAAATTCGTTCTATGAGGCCAGCATCACCTTAATTCCAAAACCAGACAAAGACCACACCAAAAAGGAGAATTACAGATCAATATCCCTGATGAACATGGGTGCAAAAATTCTCAACAAGATACTAGCCAATAGGATCCAATAGTACATTAAGAAAATTATTCACCATGACCAAGTAGGATTTATCCCCGGGACACAAGGCTGGTTCAACACTCGTAAAACAATCAATGTGATTCATCATATCAGCAAGAGAAAAACCGAGAACCGTATGATCCTCTCATTAGATGCAGAGAAAGCACTTGACAAAATACAGCATCCATTCCTGATCAAAACTCTTCAGAGTGTAGGGATAAAGGGAACATTCCTCAACATCTTAAAAGCCATCTACGAAAAGCCCACAGCAAATATCATTCTCAATGGGGAAGCGCTGGGAGCCTTTCCCCTAAGATCAGGAACAAGACAGGGATGTCCACTCTCACCGCTGCTATTCAACATAGTACTGGAAGTCCTAGCCTCAGCAATCAGACAACAAAAAGACATTAAAGGTATTCGAATTGGCAAAGACCAAGTCAAACTCTCCCTTTTCACCGATGACATGATACTCTACATAGAAAACCCAAAAGACTCCACCACAAGATTGCTAGAACTCATACAGCAATTTGGCAGCGTGACAGGATACAAAATCAATGCCCAGAAGTCAGTGGCATTTCTATACACTAACAATGAGACTGAAGAAAGAGAAATTAAGGAGTCAATCCCATTTACAATTGCACCCAAAAGCATAAGATACCTAGGAATAAACCTAACCAAGGAGGTAAAGGATCTATACCCTAAAAACTACAAAACACTTCTGTAAAAAATTGAGGAAGACACAAAGAGATGGAAAAATATTCCATGCTCATGGATTGGCACAATTAATATTGTGAAAATGTCAATGTTACCCAGGGCAATGTACACGTTTAATGCAATCCCTATCAAAATACCATGGACTTTCTTCAGAGAGTTAGAACAAATTATTTTAAGATTTGTGTGGAATCAGAAAAGACCCCGAATAGCCAGGGGAATTTTAAAAAAGAAAACCATAGCTGGGGGCATCACAATGCCAGATTTCAGGTTGTACTACAAAGCTGTGGTCATCAAGACAGTGTGGTACTGGCACAAAAACAGACACATAGATCAATGGAACAGAATAGAGAACCCAGAAGTTCATGTAAGAGTTATTTTAGATTTTGCATGCCATAGGTCTCTGTTGCAACTACTTAGCTCTGCCATTGTAGCACTAAAGCAGCCTTAGACATCATGTAAACAAATAGGCACAGCCGTACACTAATAAAACCATGAAAACAGGGAGTGGACTGCTTTTGACCCTCATGCTATACTTTTCCAACTGCTAATCTAGATGGTATGTTGATTATTCTTGAAATCATATCCTCTAGCCTGCACACCACCTTACATTTGCTTTCTGCGTTATAGTCATTGGGAACTACCCATCCTCTACAGGTCACAGAAAATGGTGGTTCCTTAGGCATCCACGGATCTCTTATCCTGTTTCTAACAGCACTCCTTTGTGCCACTCTGTGTCCTCTGAATCCCCCATACGACTAAGGCCTAGAAACAACCTGTTGATCTCACACTTTCCAATCTCAGAGTCCTCTGAGGTGGTGGTTTTTAAGCCTGCCAGGTTTCATATCCCCTGCTCCTGGAGTGAAATTTCTGCCAATTTAATTATGAGGTGATGGCAATTAGCAGGAATTAGCACCCATCATGTAAAAGTTTAGTTTTCCTTCAGTGAACCCAACTCATAACAACAAATTGACAACCATTTGCCAAAACAGTCTAATCTCCTTTTGCACCAGAGGTTATGAGCCTCCCTGAAGACACTGCTGGCAATGGGTACTTGTAAGAAGAGGTGACTGGGAGGAAAAATGAGGGAATAGGGCAAGGGGGATCCGTGCAAGATGGTGAGTGCAAATGACTCCTCTAGCTAAAAGAAGGAGTCAACCTAGCATGCATATTCATTGTTCATGTCCCCACTTGTAGAATGACAGCTGCATTTTAAAAATGCACAGAATTATTTCACCCAAATTTTAGATTAAGTAAAATATGGAATTCTACAGAAAAAGACACATACTGTATGATCTCACTTACATGTGGAGCCTGAAAGCCTGAACTCGTAGAAACCGAGAGTAGGAGTGGTTACTAGGAGCTGGGGGTGGAGGAATTGGGGAGATGTGGTCAAAGGATACAAACTCCCACTTATGAGTATGTTCTGGGGACCTGATGTACAGCGTGGTGATTATAGTTAATAATAGCATGGATATATTTGAAAGTTGTTAATAGAGTAGAATCTTAAATGTTCCTACCACAGAAAAGAAATGATAAGTAGGTTGATGTAAGGGAGATTTCAGCTAATGTTAAGTGGTAATCATTTTGCAATATAAAAGTGTATCAAATCATCAAATTGCACACCTTAAATTTATTTATTTATTTTTTAAAATAAATTTATTTTTTATTGATGTTCAATTTGCCAACATATAGAATAACACCCAGTGCTCATCCCATCAAGTGCCCCCCTCGGTGCCTGTCACCCATTCACCCCCACCACCCACCATCCTCCCCTTCCACCACCCCTAGTTCATTTCCCAGAGTTAGGAGTCTTTATGTTCTGTCTCCCTTTCTGATATTTCTCACACATTTCTTCTCCCTTCTCCCTTCCCTTATATTCCCTTTCACTATTATTTATATTCCCCAAATGAATGAGAACATACACTGTTTGTCCTTCTCCGATTGACTTACTTCACTCAGCATAATACCCTCCAGTTCCATCCACGTTGAAGCAAATGGTGGGTATTTGTCATTTCTAATGGCTGAGTAATATTCCATTGTATACATAGACCACATCTTCTTTATCCATTCATCTTTCGATGGACACCGAGGCTCCTTCCACAGTTTGGCTACTGTGGACATTGCTGCTATAAACATCGGGGTGCAGGTGTCCCGGCGTTTCATTGCATCTGTATCTTTGGGGTAAATCCCCAGCAGTGCAATTGCTGGGTCGTAGGGAAGATCTATTTTTAACTCTTTGAGGAACCTCCACACAGTTTTCCAGAGTGGCTGCACCAGTTCACATTCCCACCAACAGTGCAGGAGGGTTCCCCTTTCTCCACATCCTCTCCAACCTTGTGGTTTCCTGCCTTGTTAATTCTCCCCATTCTCACTGGGCACACCTCAAATTTAGACCATGCTGTATGTCTGTTATATCTCAATAACATTGGTAAAATATAAAAAAATCCACATCTTCTTTAAATCTGAAGTCAAAGAACAACTTAGTCTAAAAGTTCTGAGGCCATATTGCTTGTTCTGGTTTTGCCTGAACATGTTGTACTTTAGTTTTCTCTTCTATAAGGCAAATGGATCTCACTAGACAATGATTTCTAATCAAAATTTTCTCCAGTCAACAGAGAAAACATGGAAGCCACAGAAAACCATAAGTAACTAAACAAAAATCACAGAGAATTCCACTGCTTAGTTGTGACCATTAATGACATTTGGGCTCCTTTCCTGTTTCTCTGCTATTTTCACAGTCATGATGTCACACTATACAAAATGTGAACTGCTTTCCCACTTAAGCATTTTCCCATGGTACTAGAAAATAATTTAGGACTCTTCTAGTTTTATGATTTCAGGTATGTTTGGTTTCTTAATGGTCAATATAAAGACCATCAAAAATCATTGTGAATAATATTTGTTTTTTTCCCAATAAGCAAGACAATATAAAGCTTTTCATGGAAACTAAATGGAGCAACTATAAAAATAAATTATTTGTAAACTTAGAAGAAATTATTAAAATTCTTTATTTATACTTGTTAGTCCTTGATTGGGTTGTAGCCTAAATAACAGTTTAGCATGGTGAGTTGAAGAACGGATTGTGCCATTCCTTTCTCTTCAGGGGGAAGTATATAATACATAAGGCTAGAAGTTAACTTTTATGAAAATAACTGGCAATGAACAAATACAATGTTTAGAAAAACTAGAAAACTCCTCTGATTTAAGAAGTTTAGAGTATAATTTTAGCACCTGGTAAAGTAATGAAACAATATTGCTATGTGGGTTAGAATGAAGATGGCTGACTTTGAGAACAATTTACCGTAGGCTTTATGTGACAATAAAATGGTATTGAGAAATCAATAAAGCAACATTGAAACTTTGGACTTTGGCCAAGTATTGAACAAGCACCTCCTACATACAAGGCAATCGCCCTAGGCATGTAGCATCTAAGGGAAACCAAAGCACTATTATTGCCTGTAAGGAACTCACAGTTGAGTAATGAGATGAAGGGTAACATCTGGACACAACTCGCTATAAGGTGAGGTACAGAGTAGTAAGTGTCCTGGCAGATAGGCACTTGAGGTATTACAAGAATTTCTTTCTTCCTTTGACCTGGAACAGTGTTCCAGTGGATCATTCCAGCCCAGGAAAGAAGCCTTGGTCTGACCAGGGTCAAATAGTATAAACACAGTAAACATAGAACACATTGTAAGCTTTCCTTCCATTCAGCAGAGACCTGAAGTTCCTGAAGTTCCAAATGTAACTGAAGAGCAGCAGCACTTCACTAAATGGGGAAAAGAACACTCCCAAAGTCCAAGTATTACAAAGGCCAGGGAGGGAGGTAGAATCATACCTGCCAGGGGATACAGTACCAAAGGTTTCAAAGTTGCAAAGGGAAACCATTTCAAAGCCTCCAGGATTAGGTTCCAGAGAGGCAATTAGAAGGCCCTTCACATGAAAGAGTTCAGAAGTATTTATAAGAACATGCCCAAGAGAAGGAGTTTATTTCTGGACTACTAACACTGAAGTCGCTTTCCTCCTTAATTAAGTCTCTAGGTTTTTGAAAATAAAATATTTCATTACTTTCTTGGCAACTTTGGCCCTAAATGGCCTAGGAATCTAACATTTTCATCTAAGTGGTACCAAGTGCCAGGATATTAGGCAAGCAAATCTGCAACAGTCACCTGGGTGATTCTAAATATCTGGATGGTTGACAAAAAATTGATTTAATTTGATGTCAACATCATTACCTCAGGGTAATATACCTTGACTCCTTAGGTAGAACTCTACTTCCATTCCCTTTTCTTATATGCTCACACTTATCCTTTTGTGTTTTACTTATTTGTTTATTTATGTATCTCCCTCACTAGGCTAATTTTAGGAGGAGAGTCACTGTGTCCTTGCTCACTGTCATTTCCACAGTATCTAGCACAGTGCCTAAAGTATTACTACACACCCAATAAATATTAGTCAAATGAAAGAATGCTAGGACAGCCTGTGGCGGGCCATCACTAAGTGGGTAAGACGTGTCATGATATGATAAGATAATGTCATGTTAAGGTAGTCGAGAGAGAGAGCTCTGCCCAGGGTCAGCTCATTCCTTGGAGATTTGCCCAAGTAGGTGGTGCCATGGTGAGAGCTGCACCTATTTGCAAGGACTTTTTCCTTATTTCAGTTGAAAATGATCAGGAATGATGGGGCTGGGGAAGCCAACTTCATTCATATTCTGATACCATTTTCAAACCCAGATGAAGACCTTGGATTCCATGTAGTACAACTTCCAAATTTTTAAGTTGGAGAAACTGTAGCACAGAAGGCTACTGTCCCTGAGGCATTAGCAAGCAGAGGAGCCTTTCACACACATGTCTCCAGATCCTGGTCAGTGGTCTTCCCTCTGCAATTGACTGCCTCTCCTAAGGCCTGAAACTCAACAGGCCAGTGTTTCAAGGGCAGCTTCATAAAAGAAGTAGCCATATGGCTCTGGGAGATCTCTTCTGCCATTTCCCACCTCAATGCCCCCATTAGGAAAATCGGCCTTATAATGTATGATTCCTGGGGCCATGGTGAGCTAGCCTTAGAGGAAGCATCACTTGCAATGTTCCTAGCAGAGATCCTGTTACATAACTGATTCCCAACTCTTGACTCCCTTCTCTTCCATCTGGGCACATGGGACCTTTCACGACACACAGAGATACAAGTGTCTTTAGTGGTTGGGAAGAGTCAGTATGCAGAGGGTCTCACTTCTTAGACTCATGTCATCCTTTAGGAGACAAATGTGGAGCTCAACCCTGCATCCATGTACTCTTGCTCTGAAGAGATTCTCCTCCCTGCTCACTCCTGACATCCCCCAAGGAAACGCAGCCTTCAAAACATAAACTTTTCAATTTTCTAGTAAAATGAATGAAAGAACCTTTTGGGGAATAAAGTGATTTCTTTTTAGCTCCACTTGTTTACTTTTCCATAAGCTCCCAAGATGGCTTACATGTTAGCTGTTAATCACACCATCTGTTCAAACAGTACTTCAGTAAATGATTCAATTCATACTTTTCTTATAAAAGAATCTTTTTAAGGGCGGTGTTTATGTCTCTGTTATCCTTCATTTGGCAACGTAGTATGAGCTATTTTATTTTTTTGTATGAGCTATTTTAACTTTGCTCTCATTGTAAACACATATTGAATCCCCCACTTCTTAACTGCAGAAAACAAAACAACTCCCCCATCTTTGTTCCACTTGACTCTCGGCTTAGAGGGGAGAGGGTGCTATTTATTAGAGAGTCTGTATTTTCTAAAAAGAAAAAAGTGAAGATAAGAGGTTCCAGACAATATTTTCTGATATCTTGAATTTAGTAACAATGACTAGGTTCTAGCTACATGAGACTGTTCAGGCCAAGCCCAAATGAACAGAGCATCCTTAGCTGATGAGAAGCATCAGCTCTGCTAAGGGGCCTAATTTTTCAGATGCATCTCATTTTTCAGGAGGCCAAGTTGCCCCTGGTTCAGAGAGGTACCTGGGAAGAATGGTCTGGATCTAGCCAGCAAGTCCAGGCCCAAAACAGGTGATACCAGGCCTGGGCAGGAAGTAGAAGGGCTGATGGGGCTTGTGGGGAAAAAGGAGGTCCTGGAGTTGTTAGGGTGAGAAGTATAGGAGAGTAGAGGTGAACTTCTTAATGTTGGAAAATGTTCTATGGACTGTTGAAGGCTCTGTATCCATGGGAGTATCTGGGGAAGTTCACACAGCAGCATTGGTTTGTCCTAGTGCTGGCCCATATAGATGACATCCTCTCCCACTTCCTAAGATCCAAAGATACATGGAAGGAGTGCTACACTGTGCAATCATGTACACAATATAGAGTTGTACAATGTCGGCACATGTAAATTTGTGTGTGAGGACCCCAATGAAGAAGGGCTTTGTTCTTTCTGCTGAGAGATAAAAGGTAGTTGAGGAAGGCTCAAATTAGAAGAAATAATCTTGCTGGGTTTCTAAGAT